AGTGAGAGTTAGAGAGCTCGTTAGGGATTTCATCTTGAATACCTAACAAAGTGGTCCGACCTGCCGGATCAGATCGGAGGAAAGCGCGAGTGATGGAGGGAAGAATGGTCAAGGTTGAGGGGAAGATGGAGCACCTGGAGTTGGCGGTCGACGGTTTGAAGGCAGAGACGGCAGCGAATCGCCAAGAATCGATCGCGATGCGCAAAGACATTCAAGAATTGTTACGGTTGATGGGGAAACGTAACAGCCAAGGGGAATCAGGCTCGGATGAAAGTCAGGATTCAGTGAACCATAATGGAGGGAACCGGCGCGAGAACGAAGGAGGGGGAAGAGAGGGAGAGCGATCAGACAACGGCTTTAATTGGAGACGACGGGTGGAGTTACCCATATTCGAAGGACCTGATCCTCTGTATTGGATTAACAGAGCGGAGAAGTTCTTTGAGATTCAGAAGGTAGCGGAAGCGGAGAAAGTCGAATTGGCTCATATCAGCATGGAGGGAAGCGCGGCTTACTGGTTCAAGTTCTGGAAAGACAAGGCAACTGATCGAACCTGGGAGGGGTTGAAGGAAGCATTGCTGATCCGATTCGAGAGTCGCCACCGTGGGGGAATTTACGAAAGAATAGCGGCGATTAGGCAGACCACTACCGTGGAGGAGTACGTGAAAGAATTCGAAGCATTGGCGGGGCAGACAAAGGAATTTTCCGATAACCAATTGTTAGGTTATTTCATTGCGGGGTTACGTGAGGAGCTGCGGTGTCAGATGAGACCACATGATCCCCGCGATTTGATGACGGCGATGAAGATTGCGCGGGACGTAGAGGAAGCTCTTCGCGGCCTAGGGTTGATGGGATGGACGGCAGCGAAGACTACCCCCGCGTGGGGACGATCGTCAGGAGGAGGAGCGGTGGTGACGAGGACGGAGCAACCAAGGGGTAGCATGGTTCGAGCGACACCGATAGAGAGTGTGGGATCGGTGAAGCGCGACACGGCGCCAGGGAGTGAACCCGTGAGGAGCGGAGGTTACGGCGGCGGGGACAGTCGGAATCGGAGCTCAAGAAATTTGCCGTATCCTGAGTACTTGAAGCGCCGGGAGGAGGGTAGATGTTTTCGCTGTGGGGGGCCCTTTAGTCCCGGGCACCAATGTCCTGAGAAGAACTTGAGGGTGGTGCTGTTGGCCGAGGACGAAGAAGGAGATGAAGGAGAGACAGGGGCGGAGACAGAACCGCCATGCATGGAGTTGTCGGCTTTCTCAGCCGGAGGGCTGACTCAACCAAAAACCTTGAAGCTGCAGGGGAGAGTGGGAGAGAGAAAGGTGCTGATACTAGTGGACAGTGGCGCGAGCCACAACTTCGTTAGTCAAGAATTGGTGAGGGAGCTGAAACTCGAGCAGGAAGACACATCCCCATATCACGTCAGTTTGGGGGATGGTCAACGAAAGAAGACGCGGGGGTGTTGTCCGAGAGTGGTGGTTTGCATGGGGGACGTCGAGATCACGGAGAGATTTTATTTGTTCGAACTGGGGGGCGTAGACATGATTCTCGGAGTGGAGTGGTTGGCTAAGTTGGGTGAGATCACGGTAGACTGGGGAAAATCCACCATGTCGTTCTGGCAAGGGGAGCAGAAACGCACCATAACCGGAGACCCGAGGTTGGAGAGGAGGGTGATAGAACCCGAACAACTGCTGAAACTTAGCGAGGTAGAGTCGTGTGCGTTGGTTTGGAGTTTGGAGGGCAAAGAGGCAAGTGGGGAGACTGAGGAAGAAAGTGAGTTGTCGAGAGAACACAAGGGGGATATGAAGAAACTTTTGGAACAGTACGTGGGGGTATTCCAGGAATTTCCAGGACTGCCACCTAATAAAATGGCAAAACAGTGGGGGGCCACTTGGGAAGATCGTGTGATGATGCAAGAACAGTTCCCAGAATTCAACCTTGGGGACAAGGTTGATTTTCAAGGGGGGAGTAATGTTAGGCCTTGGAGGGTTTATGAGAGGAAAAGGGTGAGGAATAATACCTAACTGTTATCTAACAGAATAACAGTTAAGAGGGCGGGAACAGGGTCTATATAAGGACCCTGTATTTGTTCCTGAAAGGGTAGTTAGTGACTTGTATGTAGTTGACCGGTCTTAAAACCAGGTGAAGGAGGTTAAGCTCCTGGGTACATTGTATTCTTGATTTGTTGGTTTGAATGCAATTCCATTCTTTCTCATTCTATTCTGTTCTGTGTTGGTGTAAGTGAGTGAGAGTTAGAGAGCTCGTTAGGGATTTCATCTTGAATACCTAACAGTTTAGCTTAAATAAAGCTTACAAGGCTTGGATATTCTTCAACCTGAAGTTTTTTTGCAGGATGAAATTATGTTCTAAGCCCAAATTTTAAAATGGTAATAGAATCTTAGGTATAATGTTGGTTCACCTACATTTCTCATGCTCCAAGTAAATAAATAGCCTTGGGTGTTGGAAACTCCCCTTAATGGCAGTCTCTGCTAGCCTGCTGTTGTTGGGATATCTTTGAACTTCTTTAATTGCAACGTGAAGTTTAGCCTCACTTCAATTAGACATTTAACTTAAATAGATCTTACAAAACTTTAAAATCCTTATCTTATAAGTTGGTTTGGAGGAGTTAAGTTAGACCTAAGCCAAGTTCTAAGACCCACCTATTTGTAATAGGAAATTTCTGAAATGCAAGCTAACAAGCTGTCATCTCATAATTTAATAACAATTGTTTTCACACTGTTGACATATATGATTAGATGCCACTCTTGTACGAAACCAAATCTACAAATTAAAGAGAGACCACGAGAAACTAATTGTGTGAGATCTATTCAAAACATGGCCTGTTACAGCCTAATGTGACCATTTCACTCGTTGTGTTGTAGATTTTCCAATGATTTTCGGAAACTGCCACAATTACAATATTGTGGTTAGATCAAGTGATGTGTTTCACAATTGAAACCATGGTGTGGGGTTTATAACAAGGCCTCGGATTCTTTTGCTATAATGTCTAACTTTTGTTATGTGATTCTCCCGAGGTTCTTATGAATCAATATTAAAGCATTCCGCCATATCTCTCAGTTGCCATTGAGCAACGTGGGTAGTGTGACATTGGCATTGTAGTGTCTGTCGTTGATTATTAGTCAAAAGACCATTGTACAACCAACATGTGAGGGCACCAGCGCTGCAGAACAGAACATGGTTAGATGCTAGGAAACAATCGCAAGGAATGGAACTTAAGTCCTACACTAGAAATATAAGATTCTAATGTGGGGTTATCTAAGTGATCATGACTCTTCCAATATCAGCAACCCAACCCAATCCAAAATTAACCGCCACAGATTCAAGTTTTAGAAACTAGACCTGATGTATTTCATAGAAAAGTTCAAGCTACACATTCGGTGGCCACAGTTCAGTCCAATATCATAATTTTTTAAACAATAATGTATCAAAGATTTAATAACAACCACGCCTAATAACATTAACTAGCTAATTATGTACGAAAAAGTTGTAATTTTGCTAAATCTGATCATTTTGGAAAAAATACAAAATAAGAATTTGTTGCTGACAATGGAAGAGTAATTGATAAGCAATCTAAATTGGCTACTAAATTATTTGGGAGGGGGGACTTGGGTTTTTGACAATTAAAGTCACAAGGTAGCAGGGATAAACGATGAAGTTATGCCATAAGCAAATAGTGGACTGTTTCAACAAAACATACGCAACATCTTTCTAATAGCAATTCTATGGAAGCTACAATATCTCTCTTCTGTGATGAATCACAAGTTGAATTGCTGAACTAGATGCAAAATACACAGCTAAGAATGTCTTGTATATTCATCAGTTGCTCATTAAGAAACACGTCACACATACATTAAATCACCCTCAAGCAATATTTATGACGTCTTAAATAGTAATCATATAATATTCCCTATCCACTGTTCAGTTCCTGACACCTATTTTACTTTATATAGCCACTAGCATGTATGATATCAGTAAAGGAAATAACACCAAAAAATTCAAACTGGCTCAATTCATATTCCCCCTTCACTGAGAAATAAGATTAATTTTCCCAAATCAAATAAGATCTAGAAATAAGATTAGTTTTCCCAAATCAAATAAACTTAAGCAACACAAGAATCAATTCCTCCATGTTTGCAAACTATACTGCAACAAAATATTCAAAACACAGGAAGTCAATCATCAACCTCGCTACAACATTTTTTCAGCATCCAAAGTACGCCTAGACATTTGAAATATCACAATACCTCTATGCATAAACTCACCATGATTCTAAGCATAAACTCACCATGATTCGGCACACAGTTTGCATCGGAGACAGAACAAAGTACCAGACACAAAAGTAAGATGCAATCAAAGGAAGATATTCGTGAAAACAATAAAGTAGAACGATAGAAATGGGCTTTACCTCAGTTAACCATGCGCAAAAATTGGCTTCAACATATTAGAAGTGCGTTAACCTTTTAGAACTATTCAGTTACATATAGAGAGCTTCCCTGTCCACTCATCAGCTACGCCGTAATCAAGGCTGAGCTCTCTCATGGGAGGGATATTCTCCATTGCAAATAGCATAAGGTGTGGGAACATCAAATTGTTGTGATCATACAGAACAAACTGAACCAAAACATTTGGAGATGAACTATGGCTCATATAACAAGCAACATTCCTCATAGTCGACACATCCAGAGAAAAATCTAAAGGAGGAATAGATGGATATGATGGACGCACATATTTTGGATCTACTTGAGACAAATCCCCCCATTCCGCCCATCTTTCTGAAAACCTATTGGGATATATCGAAGAGTCACCATTCATTGCAAAGAGTTGCGCCTGCTCCCTAGTCAAAACAACCCCAGAAAACTCGCATATAAAAGTACCGGCTTGAATAAGGTCCAGAGACCTAACACCCCAAGATGTCTGCAGGGACCTAAACACTTCCAACCTATATTTCACTCCCTTCTGCGAAACACGATTACGACACTGAGAAGGACAAGAACAAAAAGGGCCACATTCAAAAATCAAAGGCTTCCCTTTCACAAGATGTCCCTGCAGAGTGTAAGGAAAATCACCCCCATTTTTCATAGCACAAAAGCATCCATCTCCACAACCATTCACACAGTCACAACCAGTAACATTCCCACTCTGATGAAACACAAACTGTGGAAAACTTGTCCTGGCAAGATACTCATAGTTAAGAGGATCTCGATCATCATCTATGTCGTTAAAAAGGCGAACAGGAACATTCTCCTTCTTGTTGGACATATCAGCAGAAAGACAACGAACAGTATTCGATTCCATTTCATTCCTCCTAATACTCCTAGCTTCCTTCAAAATAGTACTTCCCATCTTAGCCTGCCCCGCAACCCTGGAAAGCCTAAACTTGTAAACCCCAAAACCAGACCTCCCCTTATCAAACAAGCACTGAGTAATCTTATACACTCCATCATACACATACACCTTACCAGAAGCAGAAGCACTCCCCTCATACCTCATCCCACGAATAACCCTCACCTCCACACCGTAATGCATACTCCTTTCCAATGCAAGGTTCCCTGACTCCAACTTCTGATCAGCAACCTGCTTAGACGAATTCTTCCCCTGCCCTCCATGACCAGTGTAGAATATATGCTCACCCTTATCAGAATCATCCTCGTAACCCCCAGAAACAATCACACTGGTGGCTATAGGCTCCCCACTGGAGCTCATACTTGCAGGAAGATAATCAATGCCAGCCTGTATCTGACCGTGCAACCCAAGCACACACAACTCCATCCTGAAAAGGAACAAATCCCCCACCAAAATCCCAGGGATCGCCCCAACGATTCGCTTCTCCCGGTTCAGCCACAGTCCACGCTCCCGCATCAGTCCAGCAGCTCGCAGGTCCCCGCGGAGACGTCGAGTCCGGCCCTCCACCACTTTCTCCTCTTCCTGCTCCTCCTTGATCTCCGCCTCCCTTGCCGCCTCCCTTGCCGCCTCCCTCGCCGCTGCCGCAGCCGCCAAGGCAGCCACCCGCCTCTCCTCCTCCACAGCGGTATACACGCGCACCGAGTCGTACACCAAGCGCGTGCGCCTCACCGTCTCCCGCAGCTGCGCCTGTTCCCTCACCGACAGACCCATTACCCGAACCAGCTCCTTCTGCCGGCTCTGCTTCCGCGGCGGCGCAACGCTCACCGTGAGGTCCTCCACGGGGACGATCGCTCTCGAGGCGTCGCTGGTGGAGGACGACGAATTCGGGTGTTCCTGAACCGCCGAATGGACATCCGCAGCAGGAAGGGGGTCGGAGCATGTGGGTGAAGCAGGTTGAGGTCCGAAGGAGTAGGGGGGAAGGACGACATTGGTGGCTCCGAAGGCAAGGTGGAACAACTCGGTAACTCGGTTGAACTCAGTGAATAGGTCGAGTTCGTCTCCGATATCGTCATGGTCAGAGGCCCAGAAGGGTTCGGGTTTGGGAACTAAGAGTGCGGGTGGCGAATGTGAGTTAGGAGGCGGCGGCGGAGGCGGTGGAGGAGGCGGTTGTTCCGGTTGTGAGATGGCATTGTTAGTTGGAGTGTGGAAAGAGAGAGTGGAATCCATTTGGCAGAATTAATGGAAGTAATTATGGGCGTGTGGGTATAAAGAGAAAGCGAAAACAACGTTGGAAAGAGTGCAAAGTGTGTTATTTCTATTATTACGAGTTTGAGTTTTAGAGATGTCACAGAGACTGAGTGACATTTGGAAAACAAAGCGCTTTTCTCAATACAACTATTCCAAATGCTTCTTCCTCTCTTTTTGTTCGGTTGGACTTAAACAGTGACATCTTCGACTAAACTGTTTACACTTTTCAACCTTTCACAGCATAAACAACACAACATCATTTCTTCTATATTTATATATTTCTATTTTTCTATACATATGTATATTTGCATCCCCATAAGATATTGAAATTTATAAATTTTCAAACTATTCTAGAAAATCAAAATTTTAAATTATTTAGTATATTAAATTATTTATTATTTGAGTTTGTGGTTCGACCTATTTATCTATTTAGTTATGTAGTTTTATATATCCAACTTTAAATGAGTCAAATTGATAANACCTTGGGGACAAGGTTGATTTTCAAGGGGGGAGTAATGTTAGGCCTTGGAGGGTTTATGAGAGGAAAAGGGTGAGGAATAATACCTAACTGTTATCTAACAGAATAACAGTTAAGAGGGCGGGAACAGGGTCTATATAAGGACCCTGTATTTGTTCCTGAAAGGGTAGTTAGTGACTTGTATGTAGTTGACCGGTCTTAAAACCAGGTGAAGGAGGTTAAGCTCCTGGGTACATTGTATTCTTGATTTGTTGGTTTGAATGCAATTCCATTCTTTCTCATTCTATTCTGTTCTGTGTTGGTGTAAGTGAGTGAGAGTTAGAGAGCTCGTTAGGGATTTCATCTTGAATACCTAACAGTTTAGCTTAAATAAAGCTTACAAGGCTTGGATATTCTTCAACCTGAAGTTTTTTTGCAGGATGAAATTATGTTCTAAGCCCAAATTTTAAAATGGTAATAGAATCTTAGGTATAATGTTGGTTCACCTACATTTCTCATGCTCCAAGTAAATAAATAGCCTTGGGTGTTGGAAACTCCCCTTAATGGCAGTCTCTGCTAGCCTGCTGTTGTTGGGATATCTTTGAACTTCTTTAATTGCAACGTGAAGTTTAGCCTCACTTCAATTAGACATTTAACTTAAATAGATCTTACAAAACTTTAAAATCCTTATCTTATAAGTTGGTTTGGAGGAGTTAAGTTAGACCTAAGCCAAGTTCTAAGACCCACCTATTTGTAATAGGAAATTTCTGAAATGCAAGCTAACAAGCTGTCATCTCATAATTTAATAACAATTGTTTTCACACTGTTGACATATATGATTAGATGCCACTCTTGTACGAAACCAAATCTACAAATTAAAGAGAGACCACGAGAAACTAATTGTGTGAGATCTATTCAAAACATGGCCTGTTACAGCCTAATGTGACCATTTCACTCGTTGTGTTGTAGATTTTCCAATGATTTTCGGAAACTGCCACAATTACAATATTGTGGTTAGATCAAGTGATGTGTTTCACAATTGAAACCATGGTGTGGGGTTTATAACAAGGCCTCGGATTCTTTTGCTATAATGTCTAACTTTTGTTATGTGATTCTCCCGAGGTTCTTATGAATCAATATTAAAGCATTCCGCCATATCTCTCAGTTGCCATTGAGCAACGTGGGTAGTGTGACATTGGCATTGTAGTGTCTGTCGTTGATTATTAGTCAAAAGACCATTGTACAACCAACATGTGAGGGCACCAGCGCTGCAGAACAGAACATGGTTAGATGCTAGGAAACAATCGCAAGGAATGGAACTTAAGTCCTACACTAGAAATATAAGATTCTAATGTGGGGTTATCTAAGTGATCATGACTCTTCCAATATCAGCAACCCAACCCAATCCAAAATTAACCGCCACAGATTCAAGTTTTAGAAACTAGACCTGATGTATTTCATAGAAAAGTTCAAGCTACACATTCGGTGGCCACAGTTCAGTCCAATATCATAATTTTTTAAACAATAATGTATCAAAGATTTAATAACAACCACGCCTAATAACATTAACTAGCTAATTATGTACGAAAAAGTTGTAATTTTGCTAAATCTGATCATTTTGGAAAAAATACAAAATAAGAATTTGTTGCTGACAATGGAAGAGTAATTGATAAGCAATCTAAATTGGCTACTAAATTATTTGGGAGGGGGGACTTGGGTTTTTGACAATTAAAGTCACAAGGTAGCAGGGATAAACGATGAAGTTATGCCATAAGCAAATAGTGGACTGTTTCAACAAAACATACGCAACATCTTTCTAATAGCAATTCTATGGAAGCTACAATATCTCTCTTCTGTGATGAATCACAAGTTGAATTGCTGAACTAGATGCAAAATACACAGCTAAGAATGTCTTGTATATTCATCAGTTGCTCATTAAGAAACACGTCACACATACATTAAATCACCCTCAAGCAATATTTATGACGTCTTAAATAGTAATCATATAATATTCCCTATCCACTGTTCAGTTCCTGACACCTATTTTACTTTATATAGCCACTAGCATGTATGATATCAGTAAAGGAAATAACACCAAAAAATTCAAACTGGCTCAATTCATATTCCCCCTTCACTGAGAAATAAGATTAATTTTCCCAAATCAAATAAGATCTAGAAATAAGATTAGTTTTCCCAAATCAAATAAACTTAAGCAACACAAGAATCAATTCCTCCATGTTTGCAAACTATACTGCAACAAAATATTCAAAACACAGGAAGTCAATCATCAACCTCGCTACAACATTTTTTCAGCATCCAAAGTACGCCTAGACATTTGAAATATCACAATACCTCTATGCATAAACTCACCATGATTCTAAGCATAAACTCACCATGATTCGGCACACAGTTTGCATCGGAGACAGAACAAAGTACCAGACACAAAAGTAAGATGCAATCAAAGGAAGATATTCGTGAAAACAATAAAGTAGAACGATAGAAATGGGCTTTACCTCAGTTAACCATGCGCAAAAATTGGCTTCAACATATTAGAAGTGCGTTAACCTTTTAGAACTATTCAGTTACATATAGAGAGCTTCCCTGTCCACTCATCAGCTACGCCGTAATCAAGGCTGAGCTCTCTCATGGGAGGGATATTCTCCATTGCAAATAGCATAAGGTGTGGGAACATCAAATTGTTGTGATCATACAGAACAAACTGAACCAAAACATTTGGAGATGAACTATGGCTCATATAACAAGCAACATTCCTCATAGTCGACACATCCAGAGAAAAATCTAAAGGAGGAATAGATGGATATGATGGACGCACATATTTTGGATCTACTTGAGACAAATCCCCCCATTCCGCCCATCTTTCTGAAAACCTATTGGGATATATCGAAGAGTCACCATTCATTGCAAAGAGTTGCGCCTGCTCCCTAGTCAAAACAACCCCAGAAAACTCGCATATAAAAGTACCGGCTTGAATAAGGTCCAGAGACCTAACACCCCAAGATGTCTGCAGGGACCTAAACACTTCCAACCTATATTTCACTCCCTTCTGCGAAACACGATTACGACACTGAGAAGGACAAGAACAAAAAGGGCCACATTCAAAAATCAAAGGCTTCCCTTTCACAAGATGTCCCTGCAGAGTGTAAGGAAAATCACCCCCATTTTTCATAGCACAAAAGCATCCATCACCACAACCATTCACACAGTCACAACCAGTAACATTCCCACTCTGATGAAACACAAACTGTGGAAAACTTGTCCTGGCAAGATACTCATAGTTAAGAGGATCTCGATCATCATCTATGTCGTTAAAAAGGCGAACAGGAACATTCTCCTTCTTGTTGGACATATCAGCAGAAAGACAACGAACAGTATTCGATTCCATTTCATTCCTCCTAATACTCCTAGCTTCCTTCAAAATAGTACTTCCCATCTTAGCCTGCCCCGCAACCCTGGAAAGCCTAAACTTGTAAACCCCAAAACCAGACCTCCCCTTATCAAACAAGCACTGAGTAATCTTATACACTCCATCATACACATACACCTTACCAGAAGCAGAAGCACTCCCCTCATACCTCATCCCACGAATAACCCTCACCTCCACACCGTAATGCATACTCCTTTCCAATGCAAGGTTCCCTGACTCCAACTTCTGATCAGCAACCTGCTTAGACGAATTCTTCCCCTGCCCTCCATGACCAGTGTAGAATATATGCTCACCCTTATCAGAATCATCCTCGTAACCCCCAGAAACAATCACACTGGTGGCTATAGGCTCCCCACTGGAGCTCATACTTGCAGGAAGATAATCAATGCCAGCCTGTATCTGACCGTGCAACCCAAGCACACACAACTCCATCCTGAAAAGGAACAAATCCCCCACCAAAATCCCAGGGATCGCCCCAACGATTCGCTTCTCCCGGTTCAGCCACAGTCCACGCTCCCGCATCAGTCCAGCAGCTCGCAGGTCCCCGCGGAGACGTCGAGTCCGGCCCTCCACCACTTTCTCCTCTTCCTGCTCCTCCTTGATCTCCGCCTCCCTTGCCGCCTCCCTTGCCGCCTCCCTCGCCGCTGCCGCAGCCGCCAAGGCAGCCACCCGCCTCTCCTCCTCCACAGCGGTATACACGCGCACCGAGTCGTACACCAAGCGCGTGCGCCTCACCGTCTCCCGCAGCTGCGCCTGTTCCCTCACCGACAGACCCATTACCCGAACCAGCTCCTTCTGCCGGCTCTGCTTCCGCGGCGGCGCAACGCTCACCGTGAGGTCCTCCACGGGGACGATCGCTCTCGAGGCGTCGCTGGTGGAGGACGACGAATTCGGGTGTTCCTGAACCGCCGAATGGACATCCGCAGCAGGAAGGGGGTCGGAGCATGTGGGTGAAGCAGGTTGAGGTCCGAAGGAGTAGGGGGGAAGGACGACATTGGTGGCTCCGAAGGCAAGGTGGAACAACTCGGTAACTCGGTTGAACTCAGTGAATAGGTCGAGTTCGTCTCCGATATCGTCATGGTCAGAGGCCCAGAAGGGTTCGGGTTTGGGAACTAAGAGTGCGGGTGGCGAATGTGAGTTAGGAGGCGGCGGCGGAGGCGGTGGAGGAGGCGGTTGTTCCGGTTGTGAGATGGCATTGTTAGTTGGAGTGTGGAAAGAGAGAGTGGAATCCATTTGGCAGAATTAATGGAAGTAATTATGGGCGT